AAACCGGGTCTTAAAGGGCCCTCCGCCCAAATCCTTTTAGCCTTTTTGCCTACTCGAGGTCCTCTATCGAATGATGTATGAACGAACGAAATCGGAGCCGGACACCTGGGGCGGTTCCCTCGTTAGTAGAACGGGCTGTTAGTATCTGAAAAATAAATGTTTGAATCTTTTCGGCCTCTATGGCATTCACGTAAGGACAAATCACATTCCATCTATTTCACGTAATTCTTTTAGTTCGGTACATTTCTCTTTTGAGAGAACATTTTCATTTTCCAATAAACCATTCAGAGAGAAGTAGTTCGATGCAAAAGCGTAGAAGAGTAGTTCCCTCCTATTTGGTACATTTGAATCTTACAGATAATGGGTTGCGACAGGATGGGGACAAAACTTGATTACATAACATATGGATGTCATGTGGAGGCGTCTACGAGAAGGATTATTTTTATCAATTGGCCGATGAATATGGAATTATGATATGGCAAGATTTCATGTTTGCATGTAGCCTGTAAGTACTAGTTATTTTGAAAACAGTCAGAGCTCCGATTGCTGAAGGTTGAGGTCTGCTAAAGCCAACGAAAGTGAGAAACTGGTGAAACAAATTATTCGTTCATCTTCTATGTCGATCGAGCCTTTTGTGAGTATTATGGAATGATACTTTTTAAATGCATCAGAGCTGCTAATGTATTAATCTGAAAAATACAGAATTTATAAAAATCAAAATCTTCGCTGTAGATTGAGTAATGGGTATCGAGCTGATATCTTTTATGACAGGTATCCCACAAACATTGAGTTTTTGAAAAATGTTCAAGATGAAGTTGTTTATCAAGTTGGCCGATTGAATCATCACCCATCCATTGTTATATGGTCAGGTAATAATGAAAATGAGCTAATAATACGATATTGGCCATTTTCCACAAACGTCGATCGTGTTATACATGAGGCTGATTATCGTCTATTATACGTATTCCTGATTCGAGCAATCGTTCAACAATTGGATCAGAGTCGACCATTTATTGCATCGTCGCCATCAAATGGTGTCGAATCAGAACAAGATGAAAATTATATTGCTCAAAATCCAAATGATTCAAAATACGGTTAGTATATGAGAATAAAAGAAAATAGATAGAATTTAATGAAAAACGGTACGCGAGTATATTATCTTTAGGCGATGTTCACTATTATAATTATACTGTTGACAGTTGGAATCCATCTGTATATCCGATTGCACGATTCCTGTCTGAAACTGGTGTTCAATCTCTTCCAAGTCTGGAATCGTGGCTTCAAGTAACAAATGATTCAGCAGAATGGAATTATTCGAGTCGGCTGATGTTACATAGACAACATCATCCTGATGGAATGGAGCAAATGTTGTGAGTATAAATGTCTACAAATGAGTCTGAACTTTCTAGGATCTCTACCAAATAGTTGACTGGCTGATGGAGCAACGAAGATATGAAAAAGAATTAAAATGACCTATATTTGCAGTAGATAAGTCTTCATTGTTAAGAGAAGAAATTAATGTATGCTTTCTCCTCCTCTCTGTATGTGAACTTCATTGTTATACTAATTATTATATATTTCTGAAAAAAATAAGATGAGTGAACAAAACGCTTATGACTCCGGAACGAAAAACCTAGAGACCTGCAATTTTCACCATTGGAAAGAGCAGCTCGTGGGACGTTTATTCATATGAGAAGTAAATTTTTCCGAAGAGGTTTTCCCGGCTGACCTCGTCGACAAAATTAGTCGACAAAAAATTTTTTTTTCAAATGGGTCGTAGATTATTGGCTACCCTGATTCCAAATATCATCATGTCAGCTGCCGTTATGTTCTCAGAGAGCGGTTTTCTGGAAAACCAGTTTTTCGGAAATTCTAAAAAATAATCAAAATCTTTTCTTAATGAGTTAGGATTGTGGTCCGTAAATTTCTGATTAAAATGAGACATCCCCCAGCTCTAGAAGACCTTTCGTTGCAAGGTTATAGAACTTACAAGCCTAAATTAGTTTTTTCCTATTGTCGACTAATTTTGAGGTACTACGGGTTTTACCAAATGAGGTCAGCCGGGAAAACCTCTTCGGAAAAATTTACTTTCCATATGAATAAACGTCCTACGAGCTGCTCTTTCCAATGGTGAAAATTGCAGGTCTCTAGGTCTTTTCGTTCCGGAGTTATAAGCGTTTTGTTCACTCATCTTATTTTCAGAAATATATAATAGTTAGTAGAGTTTCTTCTTCTTCGACTATACATAGAGAAAAGAAAACGCTCACAAAATGCATGATACGATGTAAGTCACTACAACATGACGTCTAATTTGAATGGATGCTGAAGAAGCGATAACCTATAAATCATAAGAGAATAAAATAAATTCTAAGTTTAGTCAGAAAAAATTTCCATAAGTTAAGTAAAGAAGTCCGACTGATAGAGTGTAACAGACATTTCTGTCGATTAGAAGAAAATCACGTGACACTGCCAATTATAAAAACTTTTTACCAACTTTCTGATACAAGGAAAAAATTGTCAAAAGACGCATAGCTCATAAACCGAAAGTCTATACTGAATTTGTCTCGTCAAACTTCAGATGTTAATAAAATAGAATTTTTGACAAATCAAGTGCCAGTGACGGGAAGTTGACTGAAAATTTCAGACGGTTAAAACGCTAAAATAGATTGTTTCTGATGGCTTCAAAAGAGGATCTTCCTGGTTTTGTCGCCCATCTCTGATTCCAGTAAGAAAATATTATAATTTACATTTTTCAGATCTTACATATTCACAATAACATCTCGACTACATGAGTGAATCGTATTTTAGTTGTACAATTTGTGGGAAAAAATGAAAGTAACTTTATCAAAAATCTGAGTAGATCAGATTGTTCCCCTTAATTTTCTGAGTACCAGGTAAAAATTTCCAAACTACCATGTCTACCGACTGAGATAATAAAGGTGCAATATCCTAATGTATTAAATTAACGGTGACCCGTGATATTTTCAAAATAACTTCTAACAGAAACAAGACAGAGACTTACAATTTACGCAGGATACCTCTAGGCAGCGTTATCTACTAGCTTAGAGAGCAACTGGGCGGGAAAAATTACCTGCAGGTGGTGTACCCGTTGGAAAAAAATTAGAACAATAAAAGGCGCGAAATATCTCAAAAAAGATCTAAACTTTCGTGCGAAAAAGCTCTCAAAAAGAAAAGATAAAAGATATTGATCGAAAGATATTGATTTTGAGATTTTCCGAGGTTTTGTGAGGTTCAAACTCGAAAAACCTGATGTGTGAGGTTTCATTGTTTTCCCCCAAAAGATACTTGGTCGATTGATCCTCGAAAAAAGTCTAAAAATCACAACCGCGAAATGGCTTATTGGTAAATACTTCCAAAGCTATTGTTTTACGTAACCTCTTTTGTATTTTGACCGTGTATTTAAAACTTCTCATCAATTCTTTTTAAACAACAGGTCATTCGACAGAGTGCACAAAAACCCACTATTTTGTCACTTTAAAACGTTGACTATGAAGTCGAAATGTTTACAATTTTGACTTTCAAAAACATGATTTTTTTCATAAAATTTGATATTTTCCACCTAAGAAAAGTCCGATGGAAAATGAAATCATATGCACTTTATAGTCTGAAAAATCTATATTCCGTAAATAAAAGAGATTTGCCTAAAACGATGCTCAAATTCGTCACAAATGGCCTATACAGAACGTCGGTATGGGTAATTTTCGAAAAGTGACTTGACTTCTTGACTTGGGAGAAAAAGTTTT